TTCTTCAAAGCCGCATCATCACAGTCACAGTAGGAAGACATGGACAGGTAGATGGAGGAGGCGTCGAGCTCCAGGTTGATCTGGTAGTCGATGGTGGTGTCAGTGTCCTAATTGTGGGTCCAGCACACCTGCAAGGGCAAGGCAGGGGCAGGCAGCAGAGCAGTCTCAGCACTGTGGAAGCAGGAGAGTCCAGAGGACCCAAAGGGTTTTGTTTGTTTTTTAAACAAGGTATGTTTGCTATGTAGTCCAGACTGGCCTTGAACTCACTATGTAGCCCAGGGTGGCCTCCTGCCTCAGCCTCCCACCAAGATTAAGATTACAGGTGCATGCCACCAAGCCTGGCCTAAAAGTTTTTAATTTTGATAAACCCAATTTATCTATTTCTTCTTGTGTTTTATCATATCTAAGAAATAATTACCAAACCCAATGTTGTAGAGTTTTCCCCCTACATTTTATTCTGAGTTCTATTCTCTTAGTTCTTAGGTTTAGATCATGATACATTTTGAGCTAGTTCTATGAAATTCACTCTTGCATGTGAATATACATTTTTCCTTTTTGTTAAAAAGATTATTCTTTCCCCATTCATTGGTCTTGGCACCCTTCTTGAAAATCAAATGACTGTATATTCAAAAGCCTACTTCTGGGCTCTCTCTATATATTCCATTGGTTCCTGTTTCTTTTCCTGCTTATACCACAACTGGTCTGATGATGATAGCTTTATAGTAACTTCTGAAGTGAGAAAGTGTCAGTGCTCCAACTTTGTTCTTTTTCAAGGTTGTTTTGGCCATAGAGTCCCTGGAGATCCCATATTAACTTTAGGATTAAAAGTTGCTGCTGTAAGGGCTGGAGATTTAGCTTAGTGGTTCCACCACCTGCCTCGCAAGAGCAAGGACCTGGGTTCAATCCCTGGTGCAAAAAAATAAATTGCTACTGTATTTAAGTTTCAAGAAATACTGTTGGGATTTTGATAAGGATTGCATTGAGCCTGTAGATCACCTGGGTAATATTGCTATCTTAAGTCTCCTGTGTGTTTTCATTTTCTCTCTTCTTTTTAAATCTTGTAGGCTTTCATAGTAATGCCATGAGTTTCCATTTTAAGTGGCTGAAATATTTAAACTGCTTTATAAATGTTAATTTAATTTATTTCTTAAGTCTTTAGTCTTCTGACCTAACAATCTTTTCAAGCAAAGAGGAAGAAGGAGCGGGAAAAGAAGAAAGAGGGTATGGTGCTGCATGTAAACCCAGACTGAGGCAGGAAGATTCCTTGGAGTTCGAGGCCAGCCTGAGCTACTTAGTGAGACCTTGTGTCAGAAATAATAATAGTAGGGCTGGGGATTTAGCTCAGTGGTTCCACCACCTGCCTTGCAAGCACAAGGACCCAAGTTCAATCCCCGGTATCAAGTAAGAATAATAATAATAATAATAATAATAATAATAATAATGATAATGATAATAATAATAATAATAAAATTTTTAAAACACGAAAATGCAGTGAACTGGCATCCATTCATCTTGAATATTCCTATCCCACACGTGAACTTAGTGAGATTGGACACATCTAGAACTGGACAGTGGCTGGACAGTGGGCACTGGGTTAGTAGCCAGCTTCACAGGGCCTAGGGTGTCCAGGCAAACATGCTGGTCCCCCCAGAACCACTTCTTTTTTTTATTTTTAAAATTTTATTTATTTATTTATATTTTGGTACCGGGGATCGAACTTGGAACCTTGCACTTGCAAGGCAGGAGGCAGAGCCACTGAGCTAAATCCCTGGCCCCCAGAACCACTTCTTGATCTCCTGCCCCCATGACTTCCAAAAGGCAGAGTGGAAGAGGAAGGTAGCAAGAGGGATGTGCAGCTGCATCCCTCAGGCTCATGAGGAGGTTACACTGGGAGTCTGTGCTGGGTCTTGGGGCACCTGGGATCCCCGTGAGTCTAACTTTCCGATTTAGATCTCCCTCCCCACAACACAAGGCAGCTGTTCCACACTCTGCTCTGAGGGGTCCGAGCCCTGGGACCCAGTCTGTAGAGGGTGCTGCTGGCAGCTGGGAGCTCTGGCCACTGCAGTGGGGAATCTCCTGCAGCCAAGTTGGACCTCGTCCATTTTGTCACAAAGAGACTAAAAAGACCCGTACTCAAGGGTGGAGATTGGTTTGGTTTGGTTTTTGTTGTTGTTGTTGTTGTTGTTGTTGTTGTTGTTGTTGTTTGTTGTTGTTTGAGATGGGTCTTGCTATATTGCCCAGGCTAATCCAGAGCTCATGAGTTTAAATGATCCTCCTGCCTCAGCCACCTGAGTAACTAACACAACAGCCGCATACCATACCACCCAGCAAGGATAGAGATTTAACAAGATTAATTTTTACTGTTTCATCAAAGACAAAAAGGTTAATAATAATAATGTACTGTATGCTTGAAAATTACTAAGAAAACCCTGAGCACAGTGACAAATACTTATAATCCTGGAAAACTGATCTCTTCCACCCAGGAGAGCGTGGCTTGGAGACCACTCTCCATGGGCTGTTTTGTTGTTGGAGTGAATACCGTCTCTGTGAAGGTTGATAGCTGCTCCGAGTACCATGAAAATAGCTCTGGCCCCCCCAGCCATGCATGGAAATGAACAGATACCCAGGGCTGCTGCCGAAGTCTCAGCACAGGAAGAGCTGAGAAAGGTGGTTGTCTGGAGGCGGCAGGCTTAAGTGAGGATCTGCAGGCAGCCCAGAAAGGCTCTTGGGGGACAGGGGTAGAGGGCAGCAAAGGCAATGTAGCGAAGTTCAGTGGCCACACTGAAGTGTGGAGACACAGAAGTGGGAGTGGACGGACATTCAAGGGGTCCTCAATTGGGGGGCTTAGGGATGGAATACTTGCCTAGCATGCAGGAGGTCCTGGACTCCATCCCCCAAAACTGAGAGAAAAAAAGAAGTAATTGATTTAGTCTTCAGCACCCACACGTGAGTTTCAAATACAATTTCCCACTCAAGGAAGCCAGGGGTCCTTAAAGAAATGGCTGACACCAGGCCCAGGGCAGCCCCTGGCTAGACTGGAAAACAGCCATCAAAAGATGCCAACATCGCACCCCTAGAACCTGTGAGTGAATTGTGGTGCAACTGGAGAAGGCATCTTTGCAGATGTGCGTGAAGAGTCTCAGATGGGGAAATCGTCCCAGATTGTTGGGTGGGCCCTGAAGACCATGAAGTCAGCACAGTCAGGCGCTCCTACAGGCTGGGACACACTCCTAAGTGGGACTGCTTCATCTCACGGGAGAAATATTTTTAATTTTTTGTCCAAATATCATTCTATTTTCCATAATATTAATTACATTTCAACTGACTGCACAAAATTCCCTTTTTCCACACTCTCACCATCAGGTTATCTTTATCATCTTTGTCTGTTTGTTTGTTGTTTTCCCAGTACTGGGGATCGAATTCAGGACCTTGCACTTACTTGCCAGGCAGGCACAGTGCCATTGAGCTACACCCCAGACCCCTGTTTGTTTTGTTTTTTGAGGCAAGATCTCGCTATGTATTTCAGGCTGGCCTTGGTATCTTTCCAAAACAATTAAAAGAATCATACCACAGTGATATACTGCACCCATGTTTATAGCAGCACGGTTTGTAATAGCTAAAATTTGGAAACAGCCCATTTGCCCATCAACTGGAGACTGGATAAAGAAGGTGTGATTTTTTTCTATAAAATGGAATACTATTCAGCCATAAAGAATGAGAAACTAGAGTCATTTATAGGAAAATGGATGCATATTGAGGGAATACTCTTAAGTGAAATAAATAGGACACACGTGTGTAGATACTGAATAGTTTCTCTGGTGTGAAAAACTAAAAGTATAAATAAGATCCAAATTGTATAACTGATAATGTGAAATAGGAAGGAAAGGGCTAAAGATGTAGGGGAAGTGGGAAGGGGAGGGGAAAGGAAATAAGGGAAAAGAAAAAATATGAGAAAATGGAAACAAAGTCTTTGTAAATAGGGGAGGGGGTGAAGGGAGGGCAGTGGAATGAGGAAAAACTGAGAACCAAGATCCATCATGCAAAGTTACAAGATCCTAATGATGAATGTAACTATACTGTCTACCTAAAAAGTACCAAAAAACTCAATGAAAAAAAAATAAATGTTTAAAATTTCAGGCTGGCCTTGAACTCATGGCAATCCTCCTCCCTCGGCCTTTTAAGTGCTGGGATTACAGGTAGGTGCACACCCCCCCAACTTACTTTCTTTCTTTTTTTTGTCCAGGGGATTGAACTCAGGACCTTGCACTTGTGAGGCAGGCACAGTGCCACTGAGCTAAATCCCTGGCCCTCTCTCATCTTTTTTATAACAGCCATTTTAACAAGCAAGAGATGATATTTTGTGGTTTTAATTTGCATTTTCTGATGAGTCCTGATATTGAGCATTTCTGTATACCTGTTAGCTATTTGTCTCTCTGTGCCTCTGTCTCTGCCTCCCTCTCTCTCCCTCTTTCTCTCTACCCACTCCCCAGCCCCTCTCTGAGATGAGGTCTTGCTGCACTGCCCAGACTAACCTCAAACTCATGGGATCAAGGGATCCTCCCTCCTCAGCCTTCTGAGAAGCTGGAACTACAGACATGAGCCACTACATCCAGCACTGTATGTGTGGAGTTTTTTCTTTTGTTTTGCTTGTTGGGCTGGGGATTGAACCCAGGGCCTTTGCACTGAGCTACATCCCTAGCTTTATTTATATATTTATTTATTATTCATTTTTATTACGGGATAAGTTCCCACTAAATTCCCCAAGTAGGACTCAAACTTGTGATCCTCCTGCCTCAGTCTCCCAGAGTGCTGGGATTACAGGTGTGCACCACCGTGCCCAGCCCTATTTTGTTGCCAGTTCTAGAATGTGTGGATAAGGTAGGTGACTGGGCCCTCCAGGCTCTGAAGCAGGAACCAAGAGTCTGAACAGTGTTAGGGTGGCAACTTCGCTTTGCTAGGGCCACGCCTGATGCCCCAGTAAAGAGTCAAACACAAACACGTGCCATGTCTAGGTCTTTATTGCAAGGAAGGGGTGCAAATGGCCATGAGAGGTGTGTCTGAGAGTGGGTGAGAGAGAGCGAGGCCAGCATGGGGGTCACTGTGCCTGTGAGGGACCGGTGCGTGGCCAGCTCACCAGCTCAGGACCCCTGGACAATATTTGTCAATGAGCGCCTGGTAGTAGGGCCGCAGCTTCTCCATGTCTGGCAGGTCAGGGCACTTGGTATAGAGGTCAAACTTGCTGCAGGGTGGAGGGGAGGAACAGTGAGCCTCAGGAAGGAATCCCTGTCGGTCTCCTTCCCCATCCTGGGCCCTTGGGGAAGCCCTACTTGAACTCCTGCACCAAGGGCAGCATGTCCAGGTCCCGCTGGCCGCACAGTTGTCGGTAATCACCACCCGTGTGCCACGGGTAGAAGGAGTGGAACCGGATCATGTAGAAGGCCTGAAGGCCACACTCACTGGCTCAGACTTCCCCCCGCAGTGGACAGCCTGGCGAGGCTGGGATGGGCTGGGGCGTCCCCTCCCTCTACCTACCTCCTCAGGCAGGGAGAACTTGTTGAACCTCATCATCTGGTACATGTACTCTGCAGGACAGAGGCGTCACCACAGGCATCTGGAAGGCAGCCCCCTCCCCCGCTGCACCCTCTTCCCCTCGTGGGTCTCACCATCGTGGCCCCAGGACATGAGGACATTCTCCAGCCCACAGTGGGGCTGGTACATGCCGAATTCTGTGCTGCAATGAAAGATGAGTGTGAGGGGCGGCAGTGACCTGGAGAAGGAGACAACCACCCTGGGGCAGGATCACCTGTATCGGGGGTCTCGGAGGTCCGGATTTTCCTGAAACGTGGAGTCACAGAACACCACGGAGGCCTGAGGACAGCAGCCAACGGGGAAGGTGTCTCCGACAACGGCCCACTGGGGAGGGAGGTAGTGCAGGGTATGGAAGGGTCCTGGCTTGTCCCCCATGGGATTGGTAGCCCAGAGCTCAATTGCAGGCTCTCACCTGGGGATCCCCCCACAGAGCCAGGACCTTCCCCAGGTCATGCAGGAGCCCAACAAGGTGGAACCAGTCTGCCGAAGAGAGACAGGGCAGACAGAGGGACGGGGCGACTGAGATTAAGGAGCAAGCCCTGGACTGAGAGTGAAGAGAGCTTCTGGGAGAGGGCTTCCCCCCAATTTTCTCCTTCCAGGGCAGAGGCACCAAGTCCCTAGCCACAGCTGGAGAGCGCACCCTTGTCAGGGTGCGCCTTCCGGATGCCCTCTGCTGTCTGGAAGGCATGAAAGGAGTTGGGAAAATCCACATCTGGGTCCGACTCATCCACCAGGTCGTCTAGCATGTCCACGGCCTCCATGATAGTCATTTTCTTGAAGGAGAAGCCCCCAAACTGTGCATGCTGGATGGAAAGAGAGATGTCAGCCCTTCCTGGGGCCAGCAACACCAGGTCCTCCCATGGGGTACAGGGCAGAGCCAGCCATAGAGGCCTCTCTGTACCCCCAGTAGGCACACATCTGAGCCTGTGGGTGAGCAGGGAGCTACTACCTTCTTCCTGACAAAGTCCACCGTCTGGTGTGTGTGCATGAGCTTGTAGGTGATGAAGACGCTGTCCAGAAGGGGACCTGACTGCAAGCCAGACGGTTCTCTAAGCCACATGGGGGCCATTGCCTCCTTCTCTGGGACAGAACCCAGGGTGGGAGGGGGCTTCCCAGGGAACCCTGGAGCTATGGGGGGAGCGGGTCTCACAGTGTAGTTCCGGAAGCTGCCCTTGTCTTTGGCCATCTCTGGGTCCATGTCAGGTCGGTAGATCAGAGAGGGGTCTGGGCCCTGGAAAGAGGGAAGGTTTGACCCACTTCACCATCTTGCCAGCTGCCCGAGGAAGTGAGAGCATCCCACCAGGGCTGGAGACCGGTGAGCTGATGAGGGCACAGCCTCACCCCACACTGGCCCAGCCCTGGCCTGGCTGCCGAGTCTGAGGAGCTCTCACTCCTAGTGTCCTTATTTGTCTTTATCTGGTGAGTGGTGTCAGCCAGGCCCCACTTGGGCTGGCAGATGCCAGTGACAGCTGGGTAGACGTTGTCTCTATGAAGAGGCTGGGGGAGCAGGGCCTGGACCACAACAGGAAGTAGGGAGCCCTTTGACCTGGACACACAGGGCCAGCAGCAACCGGCTGGGAGAGAGGCTGGGAGAAGGCGGCGCGGCTGCTCTTCCCACAGGAGGTGCTGGTGTGCGGAGCCACTTCCCACGGGTCTGGGGTACTCACGACAGCCACCTTCATTGTGAGAGGCAGCAGGGCTCAGTGGCAAGGCTGGCAGGCGGAGGGAGGCCTGCGGGCTCAGGTGCCCATATATATATGCTCACAGGTTACATAAGTGACCGGATACCATCTGGCCCCTTGTCCTTGCTCCTCAGTAATGAGTGACCATACACCCTTCACTGGCCTCAACAAATGAATGTGTCAGCACAGGAGTGGCCCCAGTTCCCTTGCCCTGACCTTAGCCTCCTCGTCCTCCGAGGAAGACTGTCCAGGCCTGCTCTGCAGCCAGTCTATTTCTCCCCTGCTTTGAACACTTCCATGCCTGCAACCGGCTCCACCCAACAGACAGTACAGATAGACCTCACCCTAAAACACAGCACACCATAAACACAATTTTTTTTTTTTTTTTTGGTACCAGGGATCGAACTCAGGACCTTGCTCTTGAGAGACAGGCACAGCACCACTGAGCTAAATCCCTGGCCCAACACACCTTTCTCAGGAAGCAGTGATTTATCTCTGGGGCACCTAGGGATTATGGGTAGGGCAGCAACATTAAAAAAAATCATTCTAGCCGGGCTTGGTGGTGCATGCCTGTAAACTCAGCACTCAGGAGGCTAGGCAGGAGGATCACTATGAGTTCGAGACCAGCCTGGGCTACATAGTGAGTTCCAGGTCAGTCTCAACTACATAGTGAGATCCTGTCTCAAAAAAAAAAAAAAAATCATTCTAAGTCTGGAGTGCAGCTCAGCATTAGAGCACCTGCCTTGTATGTGCAAAGCCCAGGGATCAACATCTGAGCTGTTATCAGAAAACTGGGGGTTGTGTTGCATGGTGACAAAGAATGAAGCCATGGATGGAGAAGGTAGGTACAATCAAATTTATTTAACAGGTATAAAGGCAAGGAAGTAAAGCGCTCATTAGCTGGGAGAGGTTTCTAAGTAGGATATCCATGAGAGTGCTTTGTTTTTGTTTTGTTTTGCTTTGTTGAGGCGAGTTCTCACTAGTATCCCAGGCTGGCCTCTAACTCACAGCCATCCTCCTTACAGGTGTGTGCTACCACACCCAGTTGTCTAGAGGTTTTTAAGGGTTTTAGAAGGGATCTTGGGTTGTTCTGTAAGGAATATAATCTCTACCCTACAGGAGAATACATATTTTTATGCTCTGATCTATGTAGAGTTGACACAGCCCCCTTGTAGGGCCCATGCACCCTTGAGTCAATAGCTGTCTGATCATGTTTTGGACAGAACCCAGATCTGAAGAGCACCTGGTAGATGTTTTTGTAATATCTATGGAGGGTCATGACTCAGTAGACTCTATTTTGGGCTTTCTGACTCTATTTTGGGGGTGCTGTCCTTGTTGTCTAACAGAATCTTAACTCTTGTTTCATTAATTTTTGTTATATTCCCTGTCCCCAGAAGATTTGGTGACCACAGTAACTATTGTTAGGGAAGGGTGACAATAACTACTTTAGTTGTTTTGAGCTGTATAGAGGCAACAAGAAGGGATTGTCAGGGCTGGGGATTTAGCTCAGTGGTTCTGGTGCCTTCTTTGCAAGCTCAAGGGCAGGTACCAAAAACAAAAACAAAAACAAGAAGGGATTGGAGGGATTGGCAGGGCCAGGGATGTGCCTCAAGTCCTAAATTCGATCCCCAATACTGGGGGGAAAAATAGAGAAGGGATTGGCAGTTGGGGCATCCTCCAGAGGGCTGATCTAACGGCCTGTGATAGAAGTCAGGTGGGAATCTCTATGGTGAGTTTTATCTACACGACCATCTGAAGTTTAACAGACTCTAGGCTAGAGGAAACGAAAAAGAAGATTGAGTAAACAAGGTTGAAAATGTAGAGGTATGAGGGTCCTGAGAGGACTCATGCCCCTCCCCATAGGGATTTAAAGGGGGAGCTCTTGAACCTAGACCGTATGAGAGACTATTTAGGAAGAAGCCCAGATTAGGCATGGATCTAGGCGTTTGGAAGACGGATCACTTAAAGAATCAGAAGTTAGGAAGGTCACTGGCAACAGTATATCTTTTCCTCTGTGAAAGAGGCAGAGTATGATATAAGAATTTTCCACAGAGGAAACAGAGGCCAGTTTTCGTGAGGGAGACAATGGTGGTCTTGCCCTATAGCTAGGCAAATTTAAAGGTGGACAGGGCCAGGGATTTAGTTTAGTGGTGCCACATCTGCCTGGTAAGTGCAAGGTACTCAGTTTGATTCTCAGTACAAAAAAAAAATTAAACATGGATGGTAAATCTGTGTCAGTGGAGGAGATATTGGGGTCCCAGGTGGCAGTGAGCCTATGGAGAAAGGTCTAGCTCTAGAAAACCGGCTGCCTATGGTTGAGTGGGGCTTGTCATGGGATGTTTTGGGTAATGAGTGGAAAAAGAAAACTTACAGACAAGGCAATGTCTTGTCTCATTGGGTACAAGGCCTGAGCACAGAGAGACAACCCCAGGTATGACTGTTGGTGTCGTTTAGTTTTATCATGGATTCTACCCATGTTCCTGAATAGCTACGATATGGTTTTTCACCTAAAGGAGGAGTAACAGAACTTATCTGTAATATCCATCACTCTGATTTGGCAGGGTGGTGGGTAGTGAGGTCTCTTGTCTTTTTAGCATAGCCCCAGATACATTTGGAGAAGACATTACAGAGGGAGAGGCCAAGGAACCCCAGAATAGATCTTGTACCATTTAGGCTGGAGAAGCAATAAGAAGGCCTAAGAAGTAGAGATATAACCTGTCCCAGAGACTGATAGTTCTGTCCCAAGGGAGTTTTTAATTGGGGTATTGAGGCCAACATCCTCCATCTCCCAGAGCAGGAGAGCCAGGTGAGGGTGTAAAAGAAAGTCAGGTGGCATTTTTAGAGTACAGGGAGAAGCAAAAGAGTTCCAATTTTTAAAGGATGTATTTTAAAGGGGTAATGAGAGCTGAGACCAAGCATTTTGGTTATTTTTTGTTTTGTTTTATTTTTAAACCTCAAAGGGAGAGGTGTCCCTTGTTTTTCCCATTGAAGCACTTTCCAGCCAAGGTATCCTTTGGCTGCCTGTGAGGTCCTAGTTTTTAGCCACCACAAACTATGGTCGAGAGGGGGGCAAGGTGACCAGATTACTCCTGACTGGTGTGCTCTTTGTCCTCTCGTGCTCCTGAAGCCCTTTGCTTGTGACCAGAAGTTGGACTTTTTTTTTTTTTTTTTTTTTTTTTTTTTTTTGTGGTACCAAGGATCGAACTCTTGCGCTTGCAAGGCAGGCAGGCAGTGGAACCACTGAGCCAAATCCCCGGCCCAGAAGTTGGACTTTCTTTACCCCAAAGAACTGAAATACTTCTGAATGTGAAACTGAAGATCAAACATTAGACCCCTTGTTGGAGCTGAAGGCCCAAAAATGGGGCAGGATCCTGGTATCCAGGAAGCCAGGCAAAGCAGTTTAAGCATCCTTTTAAGGCCACATTTGTCATTAAACCCAAACTCCAAGCAGAGATCTTGACTAGACCTAAGTGGTCATCTGTCGGTCAGGCTATCACCAGTACACAGACCTCACCTCATCTCTAAGAAGATAGAAAATTTTACTCAGCTGTGGTATCTATCATCTTTGTACCCTGCACAGAAGACAGTGAAGGACCATGGTTGACAGTCAGACCAGGCAGGAGAGTTGGGACTGGGCAGAGTGACTGGCAATTTGAGAGTCAGTGCTATCACTCTTTAGCCACGTTTGAGCAACAAGGAGGCTTAGAAGAAACAACCTAGGCTCAACCAAACCAACAAAAGTAAAAACTTGAAATAACAACATATTTTTTAATAAACTTCATCTTTTGCAAACCTTTCTCAACATAGACTTCCTAATTTTGTCCCTATTTTTAAAAATCTTGGTAAAAGAAAATTTTATCATGTAAAATTTTCTCGTCCCCACAATACAGTTTTATAGGGCCAGGGATTTAGCTCAGTGGTTCGCCACCTGCCTTGCAGTGCAAGGACCAGAGTTTGATACCCAGTACAAAAAAAAAAAATTAAAAAAAAATATATATGACTACAGGCAAGACCCCAGAACTCAGAAGCAAATAGCACAAAGCATTTAGGGTACAGGAAAAGATTATGTAACAAAGGCACTTCACCTTTTTGTTGTACAAACATAAAACAAACTTAGCAGATGCATGGGAGTTGTCTTGAGCCCAGTGGAGCCCACAGTGCTGTCCCATGACAAAGTTATCCTTGTATGGGAGTCTCTGAAACAACAGATGCCCTAATGGCTCATAATTGTACAACCTGTGCCCGCGAGAGCACAACCAGGCAATTAAAATGAGACAAGCTAAAGAGAGAGACTGAGTGGTTGACAAGATATGGGGTCTTTCTTGCCTCCTGGCCCAACACACCAAGAAAGGGAATTGTGATGAACGCAATTTGTTATCGCTAATGCCTGTGGTGAGTTAATGGAGAGATGCGACCAACGATTGATAGATTCGGGAGCCAACAGCACCAAGGGCAGAGACAGCTGCCTTGCCAGCAAAGGAGCAACCTGGAAAGGGAAACTGAGGTGAGACTGGGGATTGGCTCAGCCCACATCAGTGAAAACTCTCCCCCAGGAACGCATTAGTGGTGACCACAATAATCACTTTTAATTGGTTGACATAGTCCCAGTATTGTTTTGAGCACAAAGTTGCAAAGTCAAAGCAGAGTGTGAGAAAGCGTAAACCTTACTTGCCTCCTCTTGGAATCCCAGATGAGGACCCAAATATGATACTGGAATGCTGGGGTAATGTCCCATGGTGACAAAGAATGAAACCGCAGAGGAGGCAGGGCAAAATAAACTTATTTAAAAAACATAGGGGCCAGGGATTTAGCTCAGTGGTTCCAGAACCTGCCTTGCAAGCATAAGGACCCGAGTTCGATCCCAGTACCACACAAGCAAACACACAAAAAAACCCGAAGGCAAAGAAGGGCCAGGGATTTAGCTCAGTGGTTCTGGCGCCTGCCTCACAAGCATAAAGACCCAAGTTCGATCCCTGATACAAAACAAACAAACAAAGAACGTAAAGGCAAGGAAGTAAAGCTTCCAGTAGCTGGGAGAGGGCACTTTGTCTATGGGCTTTAAAGGGGTTCAGGTGGTAGATAAGCAATATAATCTCTACCCTGTAGGAGACTACACATTTTTTCTGGCCCAATCTATGTAGTGTTTACACAGTGCTCAAGTAGGGCCCATGTGCCTTTGAAACAATGGCCTGCCTGATCACACTGGAGGAAGGTCCCAGACACCCAAGGGCCAACTGGCAGAAATTTTTATAAAATCCCTGGTGGGTTGTGACTCAGCAGATTCCATTTTGGGCTTCCCAACTCCATTTTGGGGCCACTGCCTAATAGAGTCTTAAGTGCTGTCTCACTAATTTTTGTTACAGTACCAAAAAGAAAGAAAGAAAGAGAGAGAGAAGATAATTATTCTGACATAGTGTGTCACTTGTTAAAATGGCAAGGAAAACTTTATTCAAGAGTGTTGCAATAGGCAGGGAGATGACTGGATACAAACCAGGATGGCTGGGATTCACAACCAATGAGCAGAGTGAGGGTCTGTGAGAAACTGCTGTGGTACCAATGGTTGGAGAGCTCTCACTGGATTCCTATGGAGGGAGGTGGGCAGGTACTATAGAGGGTGGGAAGATTCTCCATCATCCTGGGCGAAGGCTAGGTAGGCCTAGCAAGGACAGGGGCAAGGTTGGGCCTAGGGCACCCGTCTGCAGTTTGGTGAGGAGAGGGAAGGGCTCTTGGCGAGGTCCTCCGTGTGCCTCCTTACCAGGACTTGGGAAACAGAGCTTCATGGTCAGCTGGTCCTGTGGACACACACTTTCCTGCTTGGAAAGTGGCCATCTCACACAAAGAGGGCAGAGTGGAGAATCTGACAGGGTGGATCGTGAGGGTCAGAGCTCTGTGCAAGAAGCCTGTAGTTGACCCTACAGATTCTTTGCACAGCTGTGTGAGAATAGACGTTGGGGAGACCCCTCACCACGGAAGACAGCAAGCTGCAGGCTGTCACATCAACCTGTGACGTGCTACCTGTCTGTGCCTGTGGGAGTGGAGGTGAGGGTAAGGGGTTCCAGGAGACTTCAGATATTGCCACCAAAACAGGTGGTGCCCAGTCCAGAGAAGGCACCAGTGCCTGGAGGGGTTTTAGGAACAGGCCAACAGGATGTGTCTCGGTGTGAGAAGGGAAGTGGGAATGTGCAGCCCAGAGGTCGCAAGGCGGAAGTCGAGGCCGCACCTCTGAACTCTCAGAGGGGGCATCCCCGAGTATTGGAGCACGGTGTGGGAGCTGACATTGTGTCAGATGCAAGGCTGTGGGTTGTGACAGGTGTAGACAGTGCAGGCCACGGTCCCCCACCTTCAGGGAGAAGTCCGAGGCTCAGGGGCTCTAGCTGAGACCATTCGTGGAATTCCGGCAGCCCAACCTGGAGTCTGGGCCATAGGGCACAGGATTGGGGGTGTGGGAGGTGTCAGGAGTTCCCAGAAAGGGGAACATTTTGTGCTGAGGAGTGGAATGTGAGATTGGACTCTGCCCAGTGCATGGGGAGCCTTGGCGAGGCATGGGGGAGCTGAGTCTTGGGACTGAGCTCCTGCCCCTGCCCAGCTGGCCCTGGACGCCTTTCTGCCTTCACTCCCAGATCCCCACGGTCTGTCACCACTGCCCACCTGCTTCTACAGCACCTTCAGTGGCCATAGGGCACACAACCCAGGGTTGGGCTCCTGGCCACTCACGTGACTCCAGCCTCACTCAGCTGCTTCACCCCAGAGCAACTTCTTGTCTGGAGGGCCCCGCTTCCCCCAAACTCAGTGAGAGCCTGCTTCTCTGTCTCACTGTGCTGCAGGCACAGGGATCACCTTACACTATCAAGCTTGGTCTGGCTCCCTGTGTAGTAAGGCTCACTCAGTCCCAGGGCCCAGTGCAAGAAAGGTGGTTCACCTGGATCAGGTGGCTCTTGAGTTGCCTGAGAACACAGGACAGGAGCCCAGATGGGCACTTCTGGGACCCAAGGGGTGGCCCGCCAGAGACCCTGGGTGCAGGCTCTGAAGGTGGCCTTTGCAGTGACCAGGGCATATCCTTGACCGCTACATGGCTGAGGTAGTGAGGTGCTTCTGCCACGGCGGCTGATAGAGTGATGCTGGCAAGCATTTGCAAGTTAAGTGGTGTGTGAGCACCTGCTAAGTGACAAACAACCCTTCTGATCCTGGGTTCTGCCAGGCAGTACCTAAGAATAATTGTGACATGACTAACATATGCAAAGGCCCCACCAGGGACAGGGAAGCACCAAGAACTCTGCTCCTTCACTGTGCTTCTCCTTGCTGACACTCAAAGCTGCCTGGCTCGTGGCAGGTCCAGGAATGAGCCTATCTGGCCTCTGTTATTCCCACTCATGTCCTACAAGTGTCCACATGGGACGCCTATGGACCCCCAGTTGGGCTTCCCCCAACCTGCCTCAAGGTGGCATAAGTATTCCTTAGGTCCTTCTTTTCTGCTTTTTGTTTTCAGTGGGAGATCGTGTCCCCTCCCCATGTCCTTCTCCCCCCCGCATCAGGGGAGGAAGGGGAGTCTCCACTTGGGGTTGGCCCAAAATGGCTCAGAAGTGGCTTGGAGTCCCTGTGCCACCTCCCTGGCTGCCCACAGGGGACCCAGGGGGGTCTCCACTGTCTCCTCAACCTGAGCTCCAGGATTGGCAATGGGAGCTGCAGAGGTCCTTCACAACTGTGTCCCTCATCCAGTCCTGGGGAACACTGTCATCATGTTTCAGGGCATAGGGAGGGAGAGTTCCTGGACCCAGCTGAGGTCATACACCGAGGTGAGTCACCCTGGGGAGCGGTACCAGCCAGGCCCACAGCAGGCCACACTGGGCCTCTTCAGCCTCTGATTTGCTCAGAAGGGTCCTGTGTGTCCGGGACCCTGACTTCTGCTCCCTGACTTGGGAAGCCCCCTCCCCTGTGTTAGCCACCTCTGCCCAGCACCTGTCCCGGAGTGTGAAGAGTTCTGGGGTGCTCAGCCCCTCAACGCGCAGACACAGTGTTACCACCATGCATGGGTTTACGTGTCCAAAGCTGTGTGGTAATAGTTGCTTCAGGACCAGCTGCTGCCCACAGCTCCAGGGACTGACCAGGTAGGGAGCTCCACCATAGCTCTAGGATCTGGGTGCCTTGCTCCAGCTGGGCTGGGACCACAGGGTGTCCAGGGTCCACGTCAGCCGTAGCTGTGGGGGCTGCTGGGGTCCACAGGAGCTGAGTCTCGCTGGCCAGCTGTCCCTACCAGCTGCCACAGGCGGTGGCTGAGGTTCTGCACCTGGCAGGTACCCAGCACACAGCCCACCCGCAGGAGCTGGGCATGGGGTCTCCGGAGGCCTGAGTGTCGACGGGGGCCTGGGTGCCGTCGGCCACCATCGTGGAGAGGACGGCCCATAGCAGAAGGCAGGCTCGCCCTCTCCTGTGTCTGGGGTGGCAGATGAGGGAGCTGAGGTTGCAGGCCACTGGGGGTCCGGGCTTGGGGCTCCCTATAGAAGGGGAGGCGAGGTATAAATCAGTGGCTAGGTCTTCCAGGGGTTCCCCAACCCACCCACGCTCCCTCCACCCAGGCTGCGGGTTAGGCAGGGGAAGCCTGGGCCCTCACACAGCCTGCTCACACCAGGCCTAGCCCACCCTTCCTCCTGAGCCCGAGTCACATGCCCTGGGAACAGTACCTCCCTGGGCAAAGCGTATGAAGGCGTGGTGACTGTGAGGGTCAGTACTCACAGAATTCAGTGACTCCTCAGCCCTTCTCTTGGCTCCCCTTGGGGTGCTCTGGCCTCCCCTCCCCCAGGGGACCCTCTGGATAGGAGGCTGCTCTGCCCTTGAGGGGTAGCGAAAGGCACAGAGGCCTTCCGCTGCTCAGGCGGGGAAGGCTGGGGTGGCTCCAGACTGGAGGTGTGGATGGCAATCTGTAGCAGCAGCAGGTGGGCAGCAGGAAGCGACACAGGCCTCCGGTGCCGGGTCGTAGTCGGGGCGGCGCGGTGGCCTCACCTGGGTCGCACGGGCCTGGCGCC